TGAAGATGTTGCTGGCAAGTTATTTTTAAAACATAAGTTAGAAAAGCAGCTTTTTCAAACTCCCAAAGGCCTGCGCGCCAGCCTGTGCGCCAGCCTCCTCCTCCCTTCGGAGACTCCCCAGTGGGTGTAGGGGGAGAATCCATCCTGCGCTCTTCCAGGCAGCCAAATGGCCACCAGAACACATGCTTATTCTTGTGGTTTAAAATATACTTGATTGCCATATTTTCTTGCATATTGCACACCCCCAAATGTAACGTGCACCTTGTTTTTGAAAAGCATCGTGAAGAAATTGTTTTTTCCCAGTTCTGACTGCAGAAAGTAGGGACAGCGGCTCCCCCTCCCTCTCCTGCTTAACAAAAACCCCAGCTGCTGCAGAAGCCTGGTCTCCAGGGGCGGACCTCTGATCTGGGACAGCTAAAGAGCTACAAGAGACCAGCAGCCCTAGCAGCCAGCAACATTCCCCTAAGAAAGGGCAGCTTTATTAATGGATGTCCAGACTATTATACAGCAGAGATGATCTCCACCAGCTGACTTGCTCAGCTGCCTGAGGTTCAATGATGGGTCTTGAGATGGTCTTAGGCTGCTGCACTTATGGTCGGGAAAGGGGATCACAACAGGGGTTTCTATCTCAGGGAAACAATCGGCTTCCTCACTTAATACACACACCCCGATTTTGAGAGGCTGATTTTGACAGGGAAAGGTTGCATATTATATGTGAGAAAATACAGTACATTTGGCTCCCATAGAGAAGAGGCAGGAGTCCAACCTGGGAGATGGTTGTACTTTATTTGCTATCCAGAACAGAGGACCACTGGGGAGCTAAGAAAGGGGGGATTGTAACTGTATTTGAATTCTGTGCATATAAGAACTAAGAAGGAAAAGAATCGTAGCTGTATCGTAATTCAGGGTCTGAGAACAATAAAGCTTACCAAATTATAATCTTTGAGCATCTGCGTTGGTTTTTCCTTAGAAAAAACAGCACCCACCCCCAACAAGTCCAGCCAGTGAGTAAAAGTGAGCAAACAGCAGGTTAGAAAGAGGACAACTCCCTTCCAGTGCTGATGTGAGCTGTGTGCATGGCAGGGAGGTGCCTGGGAGCTGGTGGCAGCAATCGCAGCAGAAGGAAGTGATCTCAGGGTGAGACGTGGCTCCCTGGAGCCAAGGGGAGGCTAAGGCTTGGGACATTGTGTGCACTGGGGGGCACCTTGCAAGAATTCAGGGTGCAAGGGGAACCTGGGCTCTTTGCAAGACTGAGCCGCTGGTGCGATAACAGGGAGTTTTTTGGGGTGCCAATAAGGAAATAGTTTCATAGTAGCTAGGGTCAGGAGTGACCTGAACAGATCATCTGGCCTGACCCCCTGCCACAGGCAGGAATGAATGCTGGGTTCACAAGACCCCAGACAGATGATCATCCAAACTCCTCTTGAATTTACCCAAGGTAGGGGCGAGGATCACTTCCCTGGGAAGTTGGTTCCAGATTTCCTCTGAGAATATGTCAAATCCCTTCTTGAATCTGGCTTAACTCTCAGCTCCCACATTTCATGGTAACGAGGCCACCCTTGAAGGACATGCTGGGTGGCAAAGAACTTCCTCGTGTTCACTTTCAGCATACTACTGACTACTTGCATGTTGGGGCCCCTAGATGTTGTATGGTGAGTCAAGAATAAATCCCGTTGACTTTCTCTTCACCATTTAGTATTTGGTAAACCCTTCTCACATCCCCGTCCAACATTTCTTTTCTAAGCCAAGCAGGCCTGGCTTCTTTCAGTCTCTCCTCATAGGAAAGCCCCTCCATGCCTCTCACCATCCTTGGTGCACTTCTCTGGACCTTCTCCAGTTCTTCTAGATCCTTTTGGAGGTGTGGGGACCAGAAATGGGCACTGTCTTCAAGCTGTGGAGGCCCCATAAAGGGGCATCTTGAGACTTTCCAGCCATCTGTCCACAGCAACTCCCAGATCTCTTTCCTGTGTGGTAACAGCTGCTGCAGAGCACAGCATACAGGTCTAGCTTGGGAATCATTCTTTGTGCACCTAAGAGCATGTGGCACCCAGGGACAGTCCTGAAAGGCGCTCAGGGCACCCCAGAGAGCTGCAACACCCTGCTGAGAAGTGCAGCTCTGGTTCTGCCCTGTTCATATTTGAAAGCCTCCACTCCTGCCACTGTCAGAGGCAGAAGACTGGGAAGGTGGACCACTGGTGTGTCCTTCTGTGGGCAGGGGGATGAGAGCCAGGAGACTGGCAAGAAGAGCACAGCTCCAGGTATCCGGTGAGGACCAGCTGGCTTGGAAGCATCCCCAGGCCCCAGCCAGATCCTCACCAAACTGTCACAGGCCCATCCCAATGCCCAGCATATCCCTAACCCCACATTGCCTGCCTGGGGGCCCGGCTGGAGCTGTGGGGGTGAGCCCCATGTAATGACTCAGCCCCTTCCAAGCACCCCAGCCACGAGTGTTGGACAACACTAAGCTGCAGCCAATGCCTCATGCTGCCCTGCATCTAAAACCTCCCTCCAACCCCCACCTGGACCCGCAGTCCCCATCCTAATGCCTGTCCCCAGCCCTGCCTTTCCGTGTGCCTGCCCAGAGACCCCCTCGCATCTGACCATGAACCAGCAGCTAATGCCAGCCACATAGCCTGGAGCCTGGCCTGGGCCCATGGCCACCACCCAGATTGCCCACTACAGCAAGATCCCAGCCCTCAGACCTGGCTCCCGTGGAAAGAATGGGATGCGATGCCTTTGGAGTCAGTGAACCCCCTGGAGGTGTTCACTGTGTGCGGGTGGGGGGGAGGGGTCAGAGTGGCCAGTTGTTTGTGAATGGGGCCTTGCACTGACACATGCTGCTCTTTGGGCCCCACCATCCACCCAATGGCCACAAGCCTGCAAGCCGGGGTGTATTGCGTTCGGCCCCATGGACTTGTACACATCCAGAATTTCTGAATAGACCCTCACCTGTTCTTTTGCCACTATTGGCTGCTCACCTCCACCCCAAACTGTGCTGCCAAGTGCAGTAGTCTGGGAGCTGACCTTGTCTGTGAAGACTGAGTTGAAAAGGGCATCAAGTAGTTTCATAGTGCTTAGGCTCGGAAGGGACCTAAACTGATGATCCGGTCTGACCCCCTGCGCCAGTCAGAAAAGTACTTCATCCTTTTCTGCATCTTCTGTCACTAGGTTGCCTCCCCCATTCAGTAAAGGACCTGATCCTCCTCTTGTTGCTGACATACTTGTAGACATAGGCATCAACTCTGTTGGTGCTCTAGGCCTCAAGCACCCACCAAAAAAATCAGCAGGTGCTCAGCACTCATGAGCCATGGCTGTTTGGGTTTTATATACAAAAGTCACTGTGGCTGCTTGGAGATGTTTAAAAAAAAAAAAAGGTGCAAGCAGCACACTACTTCAACCCAACTCTAGTGTCTGTAAAGATTGGGCGCTTTAGCAGAGCTTTTAGCTAAAGCTGATTCAATCAACTATTAGACAAAAGTGCAAAAGAGCCCCACTAAAGCATCTGATCTTTACAGATGTTAGGTGAGCTGGGTTGAAGTAATGTGCTGCCTCTTCTGAATATCCATGGGGCTTGCCCCACACGTTGACACCCATGCTTGTAGAAACCCTTCGTTACTCATGTCCCTTGCTAGCTGCAACTCTAATTGCACTTGAGCCTTGCTCATTTCTCCCGCTTGCCCGAGCAATAATCTTATACTCCTCCCTAGTTGTTTGTCCAAATTTCCACTAATTATAAGCTTCCTTTTTGTATTTTAACTTACTGAAGAGTTCCCTGCTAAACCAAGCTGGTCTTCTGCCACACTTCCTAATCTCCCTGAGCATCGGGATGGTTTGTTCCTGCACTCTCAGAAGTTTCTTTAAAATACAGCCAGCTCTCCCGGACTCCTTCCTTCCTGACTCATTCAGGAAACTGATGGGTAGGACCCCCTCTCAGACTGGCCTCAGGAGATCCTACCCATCAGTTTCCTGAATGAGTCAGGCTGATTTTCTGAAGTCCAGGATTTGTACTCTGCTGCTCTTTTGCCTTCCTTTCCTCAGGATCCTGAACTCAATCATCTCATAGTCGCTGCTGCCCAAGTTGCCATCCACTACTACACTCTCCATCAAGTATTCCCAGGTTGTGAGCAGCAGGTCAAGAGCACAGCCCCTACTTGGCTGCTCCAGCACTTGTACCAGGAAGTTGTGTCCAAAACTCTCCAAAACTTCCCATGTTGCCTGTGCACGTCAGAGTGACTGAAGTCCCCCATGAGAACCAGGGCCTATGATGCAACTTGCGATAGCTGTTTGAAGAAAGCCTCATCCACCACATCCTCATCTGGTGATCTACAGCAGACCCCACTACAATATCAGCCTTCCTGTTCTCTCCTCTGAGCTTTTTGAGTCTCTGGTATATGAACCAAGGGGCGGGGGTGGAGAAATCAAAAGGGAAGATCTACTAGCTTCAGCCCTCCGGGGCGACGGGGGGGGGGAGGAGCCGCCTTAATTCAATACGAACTGGAGCCCAACATAGCTGTGAGCACAGGTGAAAGTGGAGGCCTGACCACATGAGCAGGGTCCCAGCTGGACCCTCCCACGTCCCCAGTCACTTGCTGGAGTTGCTGTGGGAGAGAAGCAGCCATCTGCCCTTTCTCTGTGCAGCAAAGGCTAGCTGCATCCCCACAGAGCCCAATCCATTCTAGTTAACAGAGGCCTTAGTGGACTTAGGTGCCTCCCCAAGCTCCTATTCAACCCTGGCCAGGGCCATGAAGACAAGCACTGATGCATCTACTTTTGTAACATACCCTCTTCTCCATGAGACAGTTACAAAAACCAGTGAGAACTGCCTTTGGGAAGCAGGCTTTGAATTCAGGACTTGGGAAGGTGCATCAGGTGACCTTAACTGATCTGCACCCAGGCTCCCCTCTTGGAAAGGGGCAGGGTTAGGATCTCACTGTCTTTGACACACACTCCCTCTCCCGCACCCACTGCTCCCAAACCTGCCCATCCCGTTACAGGTTCAACCAGTAACGGGCACCTTCCAAACATGTCAAAGGTTCCCATTTCCTCCCTTCTTCTTGTGGCTGTCTCCAACAAGATAAACCAGGCCCCTTTCCAAAAAGTCATTCAAAAGTCACAAGGTTATTTTCTTAAGCACTGTAATATACGGAAACTGGGGGCAACTTTGTACACTGGGGAAAATCAGCAAAGAGAATTAGAGAGATGAATGAGGCAGGGGTGTAGGTTGTAGCTGTGTTGGTCTAAGGACACAGGCAGACAAGGTTCCTTGGGTGAATTTGATATCTTTTATTAGACCAACCCAAATAGTTGGAGAATAGTTATTAAGCAAGCTTTCGGGTTCAAAAACCCTTCGTCAGGCTAAGGAAGTGTCAGCAGTTGGTGTGTGCTCTTCCTGGATGGAATGAAAAGTAAAGAAGCCAGGGTGAAGAAGGGTAAAGAAGAGATGAATGAGTGTGCTCAATGATAGGATATTAACCTCAGAGTAGCCCCTACAGGACACTTAAAGCCAAAGAGCTTTGACACTAGTAGGGCGGCTTCAGCTTCATTACAGGATACAACATTCTGCAGTTCACCTAGGGGATGACCACACTTTCCCCACCCCTCCATAGGGGAGGCTGGACCTGCCACATGCTGCACCTTCTTAGCCCTGCTACCCCCAGAAAAGGGACCCTACTGACCCTGGCCAGAAGTTCCTCCAAACGTGCAGGGTTCTTGTTGCACAGCAAAACATGGCAGAAAAGCTTCAAGTGTGACCATCTCCTCTTCCCAGGGTTAGCAACCATTGGATTATGGTGAATCTTCTGGAAAGGGAAGGGGCTGGGAAATCAGAGAGATACCTACCCTGGAAAGGGTTTGGGGCCCTGGTCTGTTCCTATCGCGCAGCTCTGGACAGGAAACAGAAACCGTCCACAGGGATAGCATGTTCACTTCTGGTGCTTCCTTAGCAGAGACTCCCTGTTACAGAGAAGGCAGTGAAGATCCCTTTAGGGAAGGGGGAGCACCAGGCAACCAGTGGTGCAGTGTCCTGGAAAGAGGCTGAAAAGCAATACCTGGCAAATGGAGCTCGGGGGGGTGGCATCAGCTCCTTGCAAACACACGATGGGCATGAGCAGGCCTGGGAAAGCGGCTATGGAGTGGGAAGAAAAGGTAAGGTCAGGATAGAGAGCAGGAAATGCTTCCCCAGCCATAAATATCCTCCTTCCGGCAACTAAGGGCTTCACATACCAGAAACCTGGGACCAAGATGAAGGGCGAAGCTGGGAAGTGGCCAAGGACAGTCCCTGGGTGTCACTTGGAGCCATGTGACTTGGGGAAGGCACCCTATTATGATGGCACTACTTCCCCTGGGAGCACTGGCTGCTCTTAGAGAATGAAGTGGAAGGCACAGGCGCACGAAGCCTAATACAAAGATCTTCTCTTCATAGGTTCCCCCAGGGTCTGGGCTGGCCTCTGCCTAAAGTGCTTCCTCTTAGTCCAGGGGTGTGCAAGATGTGGTCTGCCAGGCCATTTTATTCAGCTCACAGGGCCCCTAAAAATGTAGAAAATTAATATTTATCTGCCTCTGGCTACCTGTCATGCGGCCCCTGATGGCTTGCCAAAACTCAGTAATCGGCCCTCCACCTGAAATAACTGCCTGCCCCCGTCGTAGTCCCTCCCCAGCAATGAAACCTTGGGGCCAGCTTCTGGCTTCTTTGGGTTCTAAAGTGCCCTACAAGTGCCAAAGGCTCAGTGAACTCTTTCTGCACTCTGCCAGCATGATGCCGTTTGACTGAATGCAGCCACTCCAGGATGCTGAGCAGGCAGACATTCCTAAGCCTGTCTTGCATTGCTGGGAAAATTATGGATGCTTCTGGGTGTGGATGAACTGGTGCTAGGCCAGGTAGGAGGACAGGATGAAACCTTCCCATACATGAAGTTTCAATGTGGCTTCTCCTTTGTGTGGACATGCCGGTGCACACGCAGGCTAGAAGAATAGGGAAAGCTCTTCCCACACTCAAGGCACTGATACGGTGTCTTCCCTGTGTGGACGCTCTGGTGCTGGAATAAGGTGTAGGATCGGGTGAAGCTCTTCCCACACACGGAGCATCGATGTGGCTTCTTCCGTGTGTGGATGCTCTGGTGCCTGGTCAGGTAGGTGGGTGTGCTGAAGCTCTTCCTACACACAGAGCACTCATATGGCTTTTCCCCTGTGTGGATAAGCTGGTGCTCAGCCAGCCTGCAGTACTGGATGAAGCTCTTCCCACATTCAGAGCACCTATGTGGCTTTTCCCCTGTGTGGAGGCGCTGGTGCAGGCCCAGGCTAGAGGACTGGGTGAAGCTCTTCCCACACACAGGGCATTGATACGGCTTCTCCCCTGTGTGGACGCGCTGGTGGTGGACCAGGTTCCCGGACTGGGCAAAGCTTTTCCCACACACAGAGCACTGATATGGCTTCTCCCCTGTGTGGATGCGCCAGTGTCCAGTCAGTTGGGAGGATCGGTTGAAGCATTTCCCACACTCGGGACACTGATGTGACCGTCTCTTTCTGAAGTGGACCTTTGTCTTGTGGCTCTTTTGGTCTCTCAGCTCCACAATTTCTTCCTTGAACCCAGGGCTCTTTCTGGCTTCTCTCCCTTCTCCACTCCCATACCTAGTTGGACATGGGACCTCGTTCACCACTACATTATCCAGTGTTTGGAGCCACCCCTGACTCCTGTGCCATTGCTCCTGCTCAGGTCTCAGCTCATCCATCTCGCCCAGACTCCCTGGGGAAGTCAGTACTGGCTCTAGGTTTGCAGATCCTTCCACAGGACGCTGCTCCTCAGTTCTGCTCAGGAGCCAGGCACCTCCTGCATGGGGAAGAGAAACTGCAGATTAGTCCCTGACCTGCTGGCACAGCCCAAGCACTGCAATTCCTTCTGCTGCAATGAGCCTCAGAGCAGGACTGGACCTTGGACCTAGTGTCTCCTTAACTAAAGAAGGTCTTCCTTCCAGATTCCCAAGGTTTGGAAGTGCAAGAGGGGCAGGTCCATGGGCCATACTAATGCTTTCTACTCAGTGGATTTCAGAGCCAGACTTTGGGGTTTATGGCCCAACCGTCAGCCCCATCAACTCAGACCCTGCTGGGAGAAACCCATGTGGGACATGTGCTTGAGAACAGTGCTTGACTGGCGTCATGCTCTAATGGGCTCTGGATGAGACCAGAGGGATCTGCTTAAAGGAAGAGTGAGGCTCTCTAAGGGCTGATCTGTCCCACAGCACTGCTGGGTCCAGGGCAACATGATGCTGAGCACTGCACCTGACTGAGCTGACATGCTCCAGAAGCCAAAGTGCACTGGTGAGACTGCTCTCCAGTGCTCGCCCCGATCTCTGGCAGTCTTGACAGCAGCATCTGGGTACAAGGGAGAACAGCCCCCCGGTGGATTTCTGGGACTTTTCAGCAGTCAGAGGGTGTGAGGAGCACTGCCTTACACTGGAACAGCTGCTTTTGCTGCACACACAAGTGCTGCTCCTCCCTGACAGAAAAAGCCACCATGTTGCATGCCTCCAACCTCCACAAAGTGATCTGGGAGGGTAGGATTGAGAGCTGTGGCTCTCCCTTCTGGAAGAAACATGGCTGTGCTTCCTGCCTGCTTCCAGGCAAAGCTCCGGTGCCCGAAGGAATGAGCTCATGAAGCTTTGCTCTGGAGACGAGGCCCAAGCGCCCTCCATGTCACAGGACAAAGGTCCTGGCATTACCCTGCACATGGCCTCTATGCTGAGTCTCAGGGTTTGTGACACTCAGGGCCCCAGAGATGAAACAAGATGGGGGAGACCCTGGCGCAAACCATGGTGTATTCACTTCCCCTTCCACAAAGTGAAGGCTTATGGATCCCAGCCTACTCTATGCAACCATTTAATGCAGTCTGAGATCATGATTCAGCACTTCTTGAGTTCCAGGTCAACCGTACCAGGAGAATCAAGGGAGAGCCCTAGCCTTTCTCATCCAACAATAATGGCTACAGAGGTTTTGCCAACCATGCTCATTTCCATGGGGGACCACAAATCTCATCATTCCCTGGGAGAAGCTGTTAGAGAGCAATGGCTACTTGGGCTGGGGAATCAACTCTTACACTGCTGAGTGAAGATGGAAATTTAAGATCACAGAATTCCAGCAAAACCAGATCTGTGCCCAAAAATCAAGATAATAAACTCAGCAGTTCCATAACACCTGTCATTAGAGGGGACAGAAAAGAAGTGATTGCTGGTTTCCACTGCTTTAATTTTGGGGAGTGGGAACAATACCTGACTGGACACATTACAGCATTAGCTATTTGTGGTCAGCACCCTGAAATGGCAGCACAGGGTAGGCCTGTAGTTTCCAGGCTACCTCTCACTCTGGCTAGGAAGCATTTCTGAGAGGGGAGTATCGTGGAGGAGACACCTACAACTCACCCGGCAGCAGGTCCTCCCACCTTGAGATTCTCTCACGGTCTTCCTCAGCACAGACCCACAGCTCCACCTGCTCTTGCTGGATGCGGCAGATTAAGTCAGGCATGAGACCTCGATATCCTGTGAGGGGCAGCAGTTAAAGTGTGTTTGTGACCACAGACTGGATGGAGAAGCAATAGATGGGATGTAGGGAATAGATCCAATGAACTCCTGGATTCTACTCAGGCCTTGAAGGACAAGGGAGGTGGGCATTTAGGATGAAAAGGAAGGTGCTGCAGGGAGAAGCCTTCAATAGACGATAGTCCTTGTCACCCCATAGTGGAGAGATGGGCATAGGAAACAAAGCACAGGCCACCCTGTGGTAGAAAAAGAGTATGAAACTGACAGTCACCAGGGACAGGGGTGGAGATGCAGTGATCTGTGATAGAAAGCATTTACTGTTTTCAAGGTACCAAAATTAAGAGTCACTGCACATGCTTACGGACGGATAACATTTATTAAAACACCAATTAGTCCATAATAAGAACCCTTACCCCAGTCCATAAAGGGTTAACCCACCTCTGTGGTCTCATAGGCTGGGGGAGAACCCTGGTTGATGCTGCTACCTTCAGCCTCCCAGCCTCTCCCCTCACCTCCTCTTACCCATTTTCAGTATCCTTTAGCCACCCAATTGCTCTCATGTGCTGGCTCACTCCTCCATAGGCAGGGCTGTCATCATCCTCAAACATTTTCAAGATATTTTTTTGTCTTTCTGTAATTCTCTCCTTATGGACTTTGTGGAGCTAGAAAAAGCCTTTGAGCACTTCCCTAATGAAGTCCTTTGGGGGAACTGGAGGGAAAAGCAAGCCTAAGAGAAGCAAACTGACTTAGAAAAAAGGTAAGAACCTGAAACCTGCACACAAATCAGAACAAGACCCTGTATTACAGCCTTAGAAATTAAAACTGGCTTTCACGAGGCCCTGAACCTAGCCCACTTCTTTTGATTACAGTGATGGGTATCTGCTATGCAGAGGGACTTGAGGATAAGACGTATTCTGAGAATGGCAGAGTGATCCTGACAGCACAGGTCTGCAAGTAAATACAGCAAAATCAGAGCCTGCAGTCTATGGAGACAAAGACGTTAGGAAGGAATGTGGAAGAAACTTCCAGTGACTCTTTGTTAGAAGCACCGAGGTCCATCACATGTAAAACATGTCACAAGAAGAGGAGTTGAAATGCATGATATGTGTGCTGTAGCAGCAGAGGCTGACAAGACTTCCACTAACTTCTGCAGGCTCGTGGGAAAAGGAGAAAAGGAAATGACAAGGATTACCGCTGAACTGTGTATGCTAGGATTGTTAAATGCGTTTGGACAGGACAAACCAGGGAAGACAGGAAGAAAATCAGAATTCCCAAAGGAGCAGCTTTCAGTGAATTCTTATGCACAATGAACTGGAGATGATATGAGCAGACTGAGAAGGCACAGGGAGATCACGTTGCCAAGAAACTTCATTCATGAGGATGAAACTGCTGAAAAGCAGGGAGCAGATCAGAAACTTCAGGGGTCACATAGGTCTACGGAGAAGCAAGAACCAGAGCTTTACCCAGGGAAACGAGGGCTTGGTAATTCCTCAGCATCTGGTCCTGGTAAAGCCCCTTGTCTTCATCTCCCAGCAGCTCCCACTCCTCCCGCGTGAAATACACAGCCACGTCATCAAAGGCCTCCCGGAGCTGCAGTCACAAGCATTACACCATCAGCACCTCCTGTCCCACCTGCCTCTAGCCCCCGCCGCCTTGTCTGCAATTCCTTACTGCTACACCTATGTGCAAGCTTCGCCATGGCAGGTCGGGGAGCGGACTTGCCCATTATGCAGCTGACACATGACGTGGCTGCAGCTGTGGACAGGGGAGTTCATGCGTCTGCCCTGACCCAGCTCAGCACGTTCTACTTGCTGGGTCCTTGGAGGCAGCCCAGGCAGCACTTTCAGAGGTGGGGAGCCCTGGCTCCACGCACTGACTGGCCTTCCCGCGCCAGCACCCCTGGCGATCTGTGCTGGGGAGGGAGCTGTGGCTAATGCCAGCTTGGGGTGTTTGCAGGTCTCTCCGCTCCCCAAATGCTCTACAGCAGCTCTGGCTCCTCCTGGCGCTGCCCCAGCTGCACTCCCACCCCCAGCTGGACCTGGTGCCCTGCTCACCTCCATGCTCTCCCCGTTTGACGGCCTGCCCGGCCCCGCTCAGGTGTCAGGGAGCCCCTCTCTCCCTGGGGAAGTCCTCTGCAGCTCCAGGGTTACAGGCCCTTTCCCAGGAGACTGCTGCTCAGCTCTGCTCACGGTCCCTGCACCTGCGGGCGGGGAAGAAGCACAGGTCGGTCCTGGTGCTGCCGGCGCGGGGACAGCCCTGCTCTTCTCTGGGACCCGCCTGACACTATGGCACCCGGAGGCCTCCGCGTGCGGGAGAAGGGGGGAAGAAA